CGCGCGTCGGCGCGACAGAGGTGAGGGGGGAGCCGGCGCCGGTGCCCGTGCCCGCCCGGTGCGGTGCGGTGCGGTGCGGTGCGGTGCGGGGAGTAAAGCCGGGCAGGTGCTTCAGGGAGCCCTCTGCCCACCCGGCTCCCGCGTCGGAGCGGAGGACGGGAAAGCCTGGCTGCAAGTCGCTAGAAGGCGGCTGAGGCACCAACTCAGAGCTGGTTTTCTGGCTCAGGAGGGAAGTGGGAGCCTCGCAGGAGCCTTGAATAAGCACAGCCGTTTGGAAACCTCCACTGTCTTCAGAAACGGCTCAAAGCTTTATTGCTTCAGCTGCCTGTAACTGCTTTATGGATATACTGCCTGTAGGGCTGTATGTCGTTGTTCTGAGTGAGCAGTACCAAAAGGGATGTTTCTAGTCAGATGGACTAATCACCCAAGCCGAGGTGGTGGTTGTTGTTGTTTCTTTAAAAAGCACCAGCTGGTGCTTTTTTTTGTGGTTAATCACAAACACGGTAAAGCACTTCCTCGCTCTGACTGCGAAAATTGACAACTCTGACTTCTGTTTTCATGATGTCCTGCACTCCTGGTCAGAGCCATAGGGGTGTATAAAATGGGCAGAGGAGACCGCTCCACTCTCCAACAGCTCCAAGACCGAGTGAAAATAGGTGGAAAAACCCAGAGGGGAGTGCTGGGAGACGGCGCCGCAGTCGGCGTGACGCAGCGTAGCCGTAGTCTGGTATCACAAAAATCTCACGGTCTGGTGTCTCACAGCTCCTGGCACCACCCACTCTCCATCAAAAGAGGAACATTCGCTGTGTTGTCACTCAGGTTCCCACGCTCAGGTGAGGAACCCGTGCTGGGATCACGGGTTGGCACAGGAAGGGCTCTGCTGTGAAAGGTGGCAGCATGAAGCCGTGCGATACGCCGCGTTAACGTACCGTTTCCTCTTTTCAGTACAGTCCTTCCTGTCACACGGTGCCTTCTGCCTCACAGGACTTCTGCAAGACCAAGTTCTTTAATGGACGGCCGAATGCTGTGTTTTTACTGACACCCAAAATACGTGTCTCTCCCTAAAGGGGGTGTGTAAGCGCAGGCCCCTTCTCCTTCAGAGGGGTTTGGATCTTCTTGTACTACAATAAGAACGTAATGATTTGGGGCCATATTCTCAGGCAGTGCAAATAACTGACTCGCCTATTTTTTTAGGTCAAAACACAAGATTAATTATTAATGACAGATTTACAAAATCGGTTGTAAGTATTGTTTTAGTCCCCTGTGAGATGAACGTTTGAGGAACTCGTTCTGTTTCTAGCCCGTGTTAATTGTATCATTGCATTTGGCCATTCAGCAGTACGCAGATCAAAGGGCAGCTGTAAAAACTGCATTTAGTACCTCTCCATTAACTCTGTCCAGATTATGAAAGGACTGTGCCGAGAAAATCCTGAGATTTGCTATTGTGTACCTTTTGGTGTTGGTAAATGCAACGTGCTAAGCAAAGCGATGTTTGCAGAAAATTACTGCAGCAAAGCTCAGTGCAAGATCCTACTGGAGGAGGAAAGTAACATTTATATGCAAAATCCTCGATAAGCTCATTTTACCCATTCAAATGAGTTCTCTCGGATTTTATTCACTCACGCTATCACAGCCAAATACTTGCAAGCACCAAGATGCATGTGCACAGGTGGTCCGCCCAAAATCAGAGAGGACAAGGACCTTCAGCTGCCCCATCCTCACTTTCTCTTCTGGGTTCCTCTCGGTTGGTGGTGACAAGGGTGGGTTTTGGTCAGGTCTGCTATGCCATCTCGCAGCCAGCAGTTTCTACGCCGCCATCTTTTCGTCTCCAAATTTTACTTAATTGGTGCTCCATGAATCTTAGGCAGGGTTTTTTGCCCATTATTTTCATATTTTGGATGTCTTTTGAGCTGCAGCCTCTCCCACTGTTGGAACGAGGGGAAGAAGGAAGGTGTGTACAGGCTGGTGTGACCCGCTGGCCGTCCTCCCGCTCTCGGAGCGTGGGTCTTCCAGCAGCAAGTCATCCGTGCTGGGCCTTAGTGGAGTGCTGGCCTTTGGGGGGTGTGTAAACTGCACCCTTCCCAGTTTTATTGCTATTAATGATGTTCTTGCTTGTCAGTGTGTGCCGTTGTGTTAGCCTTTGCTCTGTTGTTTCTTCTGGTGCTTTCACACACACCTCCATTCATTCATTCATTCTTCGTATCAGCCAGTATTTCTGTTACAACTTGTACATCTTCACAGTGCTCAGAAGTGTCACGAACTGTGAATGTTATCACTGGTGACATGGCAACTCGCTGATAACTCCAGCAGAAAGGCCCCTTTTCAGTTCATCACGCAATCCTAGGAACAACCTCGGATCCATGACTCGTTTCCCTGACCTTTCAGTGTCACCCAGCACAGTTTGGACACAGCGTTGTAAGATTTAGTTACGACATCTTTGTTAAAATGATTTCCCCATCCCGGTTGCTCCCTCAGCTCAGAGCAGCACGACGTTGGTATGGATCGGTTCAGGTCTGGTTTTTGGTTTCTGGTAAAGACAGCAAAGGATCCGCCTGTGATATACTGAATAGTCAAGGCAGAACGAGGAGTTGGTCTGCTCACCACCAACCTCCAAACCTTTCCAATTCTTTCACTGTTGAGAATATGTTTCCCTGAACCACGTATTTTAGGTGACCCTAACCAGCTCCCTCTAACCGTTCACCGTATGTCACCACCAGCAGAAGCGTGTAGGAGAAGAGGGGTAGCTGGGCGTTCCATCTCCAACAGCCTTCATCAGGCGTGTGTAACACCCTCCTCCTGAATGCATTCCGCCCGACTTCACAGTACAGATTTCATGGTCAGACCTGGGCAACTGCTAAGAAAACAGTTCTCTGAGGTGCAGTAGCAGGTATAGCTTCCAAAAATGTCTCAAAAAAATAAAATGAGCCACATACAAGCTCATACCTGCTTCCCCAACAGACTCTTTATTGCACAGTAGCTGTATTTCCAGCTCTTCCACAACATATTGCAATGATGCACAACTCATGTAACATTAAACCCTCTATCTAGCAGTTTTGCTCAAGCACTAGGCTGGGCATGATCAAACATGCAATTTTTCAGCCACTGCTGTTGATTTATCACTTGAAATGGGTTTGTTCTTGTGCGCCCTTATGAAGTGCAGAGGGAGCAATTTTCCAGAACAGGAAGGGAAAAATGCATTGGCACTGAGGCATCACTGCTTGGCGTAATCCGTACCTTCTCCAGTTCTCTCTGCTGCTTTTGCCCCGTTCCTCCCGGCACCTCCAGCCCTGGGCCAGCCCCGCCGCTGTTACCAGCACCCCGACCACGCTGCAGAATTGCAGCTCTGACAGGGTTCATGGGCTTTAGCTCTGCAGCTCCTGCTTCCAGGCAGCAACGCGTTGTAAACTTTTACCTTTGTATAAAACTGCTTCAGGTGATTCTCCTGAATGTGTTTATCGAATATGACACGCAGCCTGTTGCTTTACAAAATACAGCCGCTGCTTTAACCCCCGCAAGTGAGACACAAAGGCATGTACGTGCTCTGCCAACAGCACAGCGATCGGCTGGCAGGCCCCCGCCGGGGCAAAGTCCTCAGGGCACTAGAAGTTGTCCTTGTTGAAACTTGTTGAAACTTGTTGAAACCAACTGTATGAGGTTCAACAAGGACAAGTGCCAGGTCCTGCACTTCGGCCACAACAACCCCATGCAGCGCTACAGGCTTGGGGAAGAGTGGCTGGAAAGCTGCCCAGCAGAGAAGGACCTGGGGGTGTTGGTCGACAGCCGGCTGAACATGAGCCGGCAGTGTGCCCAGGCGGCCAAGAAGGCCAATGGCATCGTGGCCTGTATCAGAAATAGTGTGGCCAGTAGGAGCAGGGAAGTGATCGTGCCCCTGTACTCGGCCCTGGTGAGGCCGCACCTCGACTACTGTGTTCAGTTTTGGGCCCCTCACTACAAGAAGGACGTTGAGGTGCTGGAGCGTGTCCAGAGAAGGGCAACGAGGCTGGTGAGGGGTCTGGAGAACAAGTCTTATGAGGAGGGGCTGAGGGAACTGGGACTGTTTAGCCTGGAGAAAAGGAGGCTGAGGGGAGACCTCATCACTCTCTACAACTACCTGAAAGGAGGTTGTAGCGAGGTGGGTGTTGGTCTTTTCTCGGAAGTAACAAGCGATAGGACGAGAGGAAATGGCCTCAAGTTGCAGCAGGGGAGGTTTAGATTGGATGTGAGGAAAAATTTCTTTACTGAAAGAGTGGTGAAACATTGGAACAGGCTGCCCAGGGAAGTGGTGGAGTCCCCATCCCTGGAGGTATTTAAAAGACATGTAGATGAGGCACTTAGGGAGATGGTTTAGTGGGCATGGTGGTGTTGGGTTGACGGTTGGACTCGATGATCTTAGAGGTCTTTTCCAACCTCAATGATTCTATGATTCTATGATTCTAAGTTGTTAAAAGACCAGCAGGCAACTGATAGTGCTGGGCATGTGCTCCAGATCTCACAATTCTGATTTTCTGCTGAAACTAAAGGCTTTTAAATGCCACGGGAACACTTTGTGTTAGGAAGAGTGACCAGAGCAAGTGGTTTTATGTGGTGTCAGTACATACATGTTCTGATCTCCGTTACATTGGAAGTAGCTTGAGAATTTATCGGCTCCAAGATCTGCCTGACATACTGTTCTGTTAGCTTCTGAGCGCTGAAAATGTTCCTTCCAATCTGTTTACCTGGATCAATATCAGACATTCATTTCTTTTCAAATTTTCTGATGGAAAAACATGAAAGCCTAAGAAATACAGTTACGGATTTTTTTATCTCCAACGATATTATTAGTGATCATGGAGACTTCTCCCAAGTACTCTAATGCATCCAGCTAGCTAAAATCCTGAATACTTATTTTGTTGCCTATAGATACAATTAAAATCTGAAATTATTGTTTGAAAGCACTGAAGATGCTCTTTAGAAAAAAGGGGACTTAAAAAACTGTGTAAGTCATGGGAACAGATCTTCGGATGAATAACGTAGAAGACTCTAAACCCACCTATCTATTCCCTGAGGCAGTTGTTACAATGCTGCTGTGGTCAAGCAGAAACACAGCTGTATTTTCAACAGCAAGATTCTCCTTTTTTAATCACAGCAGCCATCCTAAACCCGACCAGGTGAGACAGCAGAGGAGTGTGCACCAACGCTAGCCAAGACACCAGGTTGTTCAGAAGCATCCGTGCTACCCGGGCTGCCGGTGGGGTTGGCGTGGGCAGACAGCGATGCCTGTCCTCTGCCCAGCCTGATGTTTCTGGGGGCTTTAGCAGTTCCCAGGCCCAGCTGGTGGACACCTGAAGTTTGCTGCTGTTGTGTCAGATCTGAAGAAGAGCAGAAGCACCTGAAAGCTTTTTTTTCCCAAGTGTATTAGCCAGTCTAATGAGATACAGTATCTAGGGTGGAAATTTGCTTCATCTTGGGGAAAGGGGAAAAAAGGGTTTGGGGAGATTTATTGCAAGCAGAGGAAACATCCCCCTTTCTCTTTTTATTTTCTTACCCTTCCTATTTTCTGAAACAGCAAAGTTTTCTTTAGCAAGATACAGAGCATACCGTATTCTGTATCTACTGCAAGACGGAGAGCTGTAACACTGTGCAATTAAATGTTCCAAGTAGGCAAATTAATACTGAACCTTTGACAGATACTGTTTAGAGCAGTATCTGCACTAAATGCAGATAAATGCTGCAATGCAGCTTCAAGTTCAGTGGCTTTTTTTAAAAAATGCAAACATAGCTCATATGTACCCTTTTATCTTGCAAAAGATTTCATTTTTCTTTTCCTCCTCACTATGCTTTACACTTACTGATCTAACGGCAATGGGTAATTTCTTTTTACAGTGCTGCTCAAAATTTATTAATTAGTAACACTGGTCACAAGTCCTCCCGTTTTGCATAGCTGGTGTATATTTCGCTAAAATACAGGCATTTTTATGGCATACAGTGATGAGGAGCCTGATCATGTGATTATGCATGTGATTATGAGTGATTATGTAAAACTTTGCTTCTAAACCAACTTGTGGTCCTGCGTAGATCGTAGAAGGCTTATTTCTCAAGGAACACACTAAAGAGGTTTGAGTGCCCTTTGAAATTACAAGGGACAGAAGAAACAGGATTTTTGTCAGCTTCGTGGGCAATAGGGGATTACAGAAAATGGTCGTAAACTTTAGTGTCAGCTTGGTTGTTTTAGAACGCTAAAAGTTAAAAACGGCAAAATAAGCAGAAGGTAAAGCATTTTCTTTTTCCCACTTAATGTTTTCTTATGTTGCTGTTGGTAGGAGTTTGTTTGGTATGAATATAGCAGGTGTGACAGTAATTCATAGTTCTTAGCACATTTTGCGCCATATTTTTCCTCCTTTGAAGCACAAGTTTTATCTACTTTAGTTACCAGTGATACGCGGATAGTAGACAGAGTTTACAGATAATCCCATGCTATTTAGATTGCTCAAAGGGTTAATGTGAAAGCTGTCGTGCAAGTCTGCACATATGTGTGAAAAAATTAGTAAGGTACATGCTAAGAAAATAATTTTTAAAATTTGCACTGATTGAGGGCATTTTTAAAGGAAACATTGAGCAAGAAAAAACTAATCTTGAGATCTTTTATCATTATGTAGAATTGTATGTGCATATTAGTAGTTAAAGGGATGACATATTTTAGCAGAGTCAGTTTTTTAGAGAAGAGGTTGCGATGCAGATGGGTAAAGCAGTGGGAAAAGTGAGGTGCTGGATTATAGTGAGAGCTGAGTATGTAAGTTTATCAGCACAAGAGTAACCAGATAAGCGTTACGTGCTCCCATGCTTTTCATGAGAAGAATTCTTTGCCCAAAATTAAAGCAAAAGTAATTTGACTGCTAACAGTTTGCAACAGGACTTTTGTTAGATCTGTTTGCCCAGCAGTAATTATGTGACTAAAACATCTCTTTGGAGCTAGAAGATAACGACATGTAGGTGCTAAATGAAACTTCATGTAGTGGCTGCAGCCCAGCACTGTGAGGCCAGCGCTGGCCAGCCCGTCAGCAGTGAGCCTCTGCTCTCTGTGCTGGTTCCTACCACGAATTAATACGAATTAATCAGCAGATGGTAGAAGTTACAGCGGAGGCAGAACAAAGTCAGAAGCTGACTTTTATTCAGCTAAATGCAACATGCAATCCTAGTGAAGAACTGCTGCTAGCAGGCAGATTAGGATAAAATTGGTAAGTAAATGGTTAGGGCAGAGCTAGAGAGGACAGAATTAAGCCTTTTCTGTCTGTGCGTCTGTTTTTTGCCGATAACCTAGAGGCACCTTTTCCCTTGCTGTTGCTCAGTTAGGTAAGACATTGAGAAACAGTTGTTTTGCAGCTTATGGGAGTGGAAGAGAAGCGTTTTATCAGGGAAGCTGAAATGAGTCCCAGGGACTGGAGACCATGTGTGGTGTGAGATAGCAGGGCAGCAGCATTCATGTCTGAGAGCCACGAGGTTTCTGGATTGGCCTTACTTTCTTTTCCAGTGACATTTTGGGCCTTCGGGAGACAGAGAGCAGTGAGATGATGCCGTGGGCTCTCCCTGACTTCTTGCGGAGACTCCCTCGCTGCCACAACACTCTCTTGATTGAAAAAAATAGACAATTCGGTCTATGGACACAAATAAGTCTGGATTACACACAAATGGGAACACAATTTTGCATTAAGATTTTTTTTTTTATGTTTTCTAAGGACTGGCAGAGGAATGCTTCATATTCAAGCCACCACATAAGTCAGCACTTTCACCTCCTAGAGTTAGTCACTGTCTGAGAGGCAGCTGGTCAGCTTATGGCAGGACACACATCTACCCTCCATGGGCATCCTGGGTCTGAATGAGCATCACTGTGGGGGACACATCAGTGAGAAGAGAAGGGGGCGGGTGCCACTCACCGCAGGGGACCAGTTTTATGGATCTGTTGCATTTGGGGGCTGCCAGTCTAGGCAATTCAGATTTATTTATAAAACATATTTAAAAGCTGAAAAGAAATAGAAATGACTCAGCTCTACAAGAGGAGGGTTAAGTAAAACAGGGACAAGTGAAAAGCAGGAAGAAACGTAAAAGTGAGACAACTAATAGGAAATATTGACTAATCACTCAGATATTTGTTTGCAAATTAAAAAGTGCTATGTGCTTTGTAGCAGAAAAAAAAAAGAACAAGACAAACCGATGATAATAGAGACCATCTTTACTAAATGACAAATCATTCCTCCTAGTTATCTTCAAAAATCTCTCTGTAGCAAAACTGCCATGATCAAATTGTCTTTTGAGACTAACTTGCCTGGGATTAGCAGGTTTGGGGTTTTCTTTTGTATTTACAGTCATACCTTCTCAGATAACTCAGAAAGAAAACTGAATATATTAATATGATTAAAGATTTCTGTTGGCAGTCCACTGTAGGTTGCTGAATTAAAGAAATCAAGGCCATGCCTTTAAGCTACATTCCTTTCCTCCTATGTGTCCATCTACTGTTTACATTACTTTCAGCTCCTTTAAGCTGGGATTTTTCAAAATGAAGCACTGTGCATATTTGCAGAGCATTCAAATGGCTCTTGATTTAATGTTCTCTATTAAAGGCATGCGTTAGCATACGCTAATCCTTCTTTCATCTTTTTTTTTTTCCAGACAACTGAAACGTGACTATCCCAGTGCTGTAGTTCTTAGTACTGATGACTTTTTTATCGAAAATGGTGTATACATGTTTGAGCCTGACTTCCTAGAGGATGCCCACAAATGGAACCAAAAGAGAGGTGACTGAAATCGAGCCAGGGGTTTTGCAGTATAGTTTCTCTTTTCAGTCTGTTTTTAAACTTAGCCCCAAAATAAAATATCTCAAAGTGGTGTCGTACACTGAAGTTCATGGGGTACTAGTTAAAAGAATACATTTACCGCTTCTGATTGTATTTCTTCTGACTTATAAGACAAGAATTTATAAATGAAAAAATGTTGGTGATTGATAGTTGTTATTTTAGAAAGTAAACCGGTGACTATTAGGTAGCACTGCTGGAGCTTGGTAACAGCAGGTGGCATGCAAATACCAGCCCAGCAGCTGCTCACTGCAGCTCTATGCACCACATCCTTCAGAGTGTAACTTCTTAGATGTCTGTCCTGACTTGGTATGGGGTGTTACGGGAGGGAGGGGGGGCGATAGCCAGGAGGAAAATTTGCAAACCTAATTAGAAGTTTGAGAATGAAACAACCCAGGTCTCTACTTCAGAGAGAGAAAAATGTAACGTGCTTCTGTGGCTGTGCTCTGAACTCATTTCTAGCAATGGAACGCACTTTTGAGATCAGATTACATCTTTTGCAAAGAACAGTAAATTTTAGCTGTTGTAAATACCTAGCGCTGTGATACCGCTAAGTATGTTCTACGAGAGGTTCAGATCTTACTACTGAGCACAGTCAGCGGCTGCATCACCTCCTCCAGGAGAGCCCCTGCTGGGCACTGACCTCTGCTCGCATTTGGGTGATAGCTGCAAACCCAAGTCCAGTGGGGAACCAAGCGTGCTAGCAGCAGGCAAAGAAAGGACGCTTTGGGGCTAGTAAGACCTGGCTCGGTCTGTTATTTAATATGTGTTAGCTTTACTTAATGTGTTACATTACAGCACACAAGGCAATGAAGAATGGGAAAAGCCCGGTTATTATTGATAATACCAACATCCATGCTTGGGAAATGAAGCCGTATGTGATGATGGTAGGGAAAGCTCTGATTTATTGCTTTTATATGCTCAGCTATGAGATTTAAGAGGTGATCTGACTGAAACAGTTCTTAACATGGCTAAAAAGAATTACTTCCATTTTCCCCCAGTTCTCTAATTATAGTTAAGGATTGATACTGTGACGAAGTAGGGGAAGAGGTGCCAGTGTAGTTGTTTTATCCCGTCAGCTATATACCTCAGTGAAGGCAAAATTACTTGAAAAGATTAAGTGTCTTTGAACTTGCCCTGTAACTTCTTGATGATCAGGATGTCATCCCCTTCCCCAGTAGTGACATGAATTGAACAGTTCTCAAACTATTTGTTGACAAATACATCAAGATATGACTGACTTACAATTTTAGTTTATGACTTGTGAAAAATACACCACAAAGAGTCCTCAAAGGCGCATTGGTATCTCATCAGGAGTTCTGGCAGAGATGGCAATATTTTTAGTACAGTTTCATAATGTGGCCTGTCTGCTAACATTATACTCGTGCTTCTGGTCTTGGGTTATGGTCTTGTCAGTTAAGAAATTTGGGTCTAAGTATTGCTTATATGGGAGCACAAAAGAGGTACAAATTAATAGTGGTGCTGGAAAGCCTGGACATGCCACTCAGTAGCAGAAGGTGTTAATGCTTGTGGGTGACTATGAAGCAAGTGAGAGAGCACAGCCAGAGGTGGGCAAGATGTAAAAAAGCCAACAGATTGCCCTGCCTCCTTTCCCCCAAATCAAAACCCCAAAGCAATCAATAACTGTATTAAATATATATGCATGTATATACACACACACACACACACACACAAATATGTTGCTTTACCTTGAAAAAAATTGAGGCTTGTAGGCTTAGTGGCTGGAAATAGCATGACTGATAGATGTTGACCTCACACTCGCGGAAGCTCTAGCTTGGTGTGGCTCTTGAGCCATCTGTGACTTCCAGAGAGTTCAAGTGCCAGGATGCCGTTGCCCTGGGGGACAGGGACTGGGAGCAATGCTGAGAGACCTAAATCCTTTGATATAGAAGGAAATGAACTAGCTGGGACTCAGACCAGCACCTTGATAGGAGTCATGGTTATCTTCCCCTTTCTGGCTCCTGGTACATATGATACATCTCTTAAGCAGATAAAATCTCAGGGGGTCTGGCAGATTGGCTACTCCTGAGCTCGGGAGCCATACATCTAAAACTTCTGTGTACTTCTTCAGGCACGTGAAAATAGATATGAAGTTATATTCCAAGAACCAGATACGCCCTGGAAGTTCAATGTTCAAGAACTGACAAGGTACACCTTTCTCTCTTTGATATGGCAGACAGCTTCTCCTTTTATTGATGCACTCTGAGAAAGGTCAGCACTCTTCCTCTTCACATACCCGAAAAGGTAACCTAGTAAATGACAACAGAAGGATCGTCGTGGAAAATTTCTGTTACTCAGTACCTGGTCTGCAGTGAATTCAGCCCTGAAAGAGCCTGACTGTGCTGAAGTGAGTCAGGCAGTAGAGAAGCACCCCCCTGAAGCATGTATTTATACTGCAAGCTCCTTGGGGCAGGAACCCTGATTTTTGTTCTGTATTTTGAGCTGCACTCTCTCTATTTGGGCACAAACCACATCTAAGCAGTACAGACAATATTCAGACATCTGGTCTTAAAAAAACCTAACCATAACAAATACTGTCTTGCAATGGTGGGATGCTACATTAAGTGTGGTCAAGAAATGGGGTTCTAGAGGATCTTTCTAAAGATCTTAACATGCACACACAAAAGGGATACAACAAATGTATCAACTCTGCATAATGTGGTAGGATACAGAGGCAGCCAAATATAGCTCTGAGTATATTAGTTTGGCTAATGGATGCAGGGTTAACGGTTATATCACTAAAAAACTCCATGCAGGCTGATTTTCTAGCCCTTAACCAACCAGCTGTAAACTATGTTACAGCAGCAAGTGCACTCCCATCTACTAGATCCAGAAGCTAACACGTGCTAACTAACTTACTTATCACAAGAAAACAGGGCATGGGTACTTCATTCCGACTGATTTATTTGTTTTGTAGCAGCTAGGAACTCCAGTCAAAAATCAGCATTGCTCCTTTTTGTGTGTGACAGAGACAAATGGCAGAGGGCGGTGGCCCAGAGCACTTGAGGCTGCAGGGTGAGGCGGGACATGGCAGAAGGCAGCCGATGGCTTGGGGCTGAAGGCAGGCGAGGACACCAACAGCCTTAGCAGTCAACTGCAAGTGTCAGCTCTTGCTTCACCAGCACCAGCTGGGAGCGAGTTGTAGGGCATCACTGCAGAGGCAGATTTTACTAGTAATCATTCATGATAGGCCGAGCTACTCAGTAACTTGTATTTTGTTTTATTAATCATTTGAAACAAGTCGGCTTTTTACAGTGGCACTGTGAAGCTAATTCAGATACACTCAGTTTGGAGCAGCTCTCCGGCAAATGATTCAGGCACAGCTGAAGGTTGCTCCCAGTCTGGTTCCACATTGTGTCTTTACTGGCAATACAGTTTGTGCCGGTTGCTGGTCCCAGGCACAGGCTGCACACGCGTCTAGGGCACTGGCTGCTGGAGGACCTTGTGCCCGCTTCACAAGTGGGATGCTGCAGCTGGCAACCTGCTGTGTTACTGTCACCTTAATTCCACCAGGGAAAAAGCATGTTGAGCAAGCGAGGCAGGATTTGCACAGCACAAGGCTTTGAAAATACGGATGCAGGACAAACTTAGATTCTAGATGATGAATTGTGCCTAATAGAGCTAAATGGCAAACCCAAAGATATTCAGAGTTTGCAAACTCACAGTCAAGCAGAAATCCGTGGTGGTCTTTGGAAAAACAATTCCCACTAACATGTCGAGAGACTGCAGCCGTTTCTGGTCTATCCAGAAAGCCCTGCATGTTTGAGCATCCTGTTCCCCTCCCTCTCAGACTGGCCATCATTTACAAATCTGCCCTGGAACATGAGCCACATCAGGTATGATTTTTCCCCGCTTGTGCTCAGACAAAGCAACAACAGGCTTTTGACCTCTATACTTGTTGATTATGAGTCAGTGTCTGGGCTATCCCCAGCCCTTGTCTGCATTTCTCCAGATTTATAAAAGCTCACCCTGAGGCTAACAAGCCCTTAGCACTAAAAGCCACATAAAATAATACACAGGTCTTCTACATAGCTCTTTCTTACCTGGCCTACATTTCAAAGCATTTGTCTAACTTCTTATATCCTGGCTGCCCACAAAAATACTTGCATTACATTTTTCAGCAGCAACAAAAAGATTTTTAAGAAGTAGGAGGAAGCAAAGAACAATTTGGCAAAAAAGGGCTAGAAATAGATCGGCAGGGACATAAGCCGTTATCCTGAACATATCGAGAACCTTAGCAAGCTTAAGATAACCTCTAATACATGAGCAGCTAAATACTTGTATTTTCTGTTAATGTTGACTCTACAGAAGAAATATTCATCATGTCCCTCGACAAAAGATACAACGGATGAAAGAACAATACGAGCACAATGTTACCTTCCACAGTGTTCTTCAGTCTGAAAAACCAAGCAGAGATGAGGGAAGCTCCAGTGGACCAAATGCAGCTTACGGCATGGGTGCCTATTCCAACCCGCCTCCAGCCTTCTCAAACAGAAGACCTCACGTGGCACGTACAAACAACATGCCATTTAACTGAAGAGGTGGATTCCTCAGTGTATTTTAATTATCAGGGTATAAAGGTCTCTAGTTTTAAATTTTTTCTAAACTGTTTTTTATTCTTGTATTTTTCTACTACATTTCTAAATTACTTTTATTTCTCACAAGTCTTTAAATGTCACTGGATTATGATCTCACAGCTCTACATGACCAATCTAAGAGCACTATCCCCAGTACAAACTGTACTCCCCCTCATCCCTCTTCCTCCACGAAAATCCATTCAAGCTTATGGTGAAACTCACTGGCTGTGCCACACGCTTTCTGGGGACTTTTCTGCATCATGCTCTGTCGCTAATAGATAACAATAAATACTCCTAAATTCTTTCTTTCTTACAGGCCATGTGGCCAATTCCTTCTCCACACAGTTGTCATTTCTTGCCATTTTAATGCTTTATAACCTTTTGTAAGGTGCATAACCTCGCTGTATAACCTTTTGTATCTTCCCACTCCATCTTGCCTAGAGCATTACTGCTAGCTTTAAGAGACGGAAAGTGAATGGTGGAAAAGGTAGCTCTAACAGATTGTAACAAGATTTGACGCTGTTCCCTATCTACAACTCTGCTGTCTGGATTCATGCTGGTCTTACCTCAGCTCTATCACAGCCAAACAGCTTCTCCAGCCTGGAGGCAAAACACTTTAACACACCAAACTGAGCCCTTTATCTTGCCAAGACATAGGAATTCAACTGATCCTGAGACAAGTCCATATACGGAGGCTCCTAAAATGAAACATTAGTGTTAGGCTAGTGCTTGTTAACTTCTAAGTAGTAATAGGGCCACAGGAGCAGCTCTGAATAGCTGAAGCACAAGGCTACCAAATAGCCAAACTAACTCAGAAGTACAAAATAATGAAGCTACCCTGCAGTAGTTTTATCTATATTGTTAAATTCTGCTGATTACGTCCTTATCAAGAAGCTTCATCAAACATTTTTAAAACTCAGCATTTGTAATGCCAATTTTTTTTAAGTAGGTGTAGATTATTAGGCAGTGCTTATAGAACAGGGCAGTAGTGAGTTATTTTGCAGTAGGAAATGAAGACAGCTCACATTGGACATTAAGAAATACAGGTACAGCTGCTGTTCATCTAGCAATTTAGCAGACAGAGAAGTATAAGAGGTATAAAGAAATAGGCTGTTGCTGGGCAAAAGCCAAGCTGTCTTCAGGACACAGTAGATGTATGAGATGAATTGCATTTTCTACTGAAGCTGCATTTAAAGAAGCAGTATCATCATCGTAAATAACCTGGCTCTGCAGTATTGCACAAAGGTTTACAGAACTATCAGCAAGCTTGTATCAGCCCAGTACAGTTCTCTAGTCCTGCTACCATGTCCAGCTTGGTCACAGGAGCCACCCCCAGTTCAGCACTTGAGCCAAGTGAATGGCATAGGACCCCTGAAAGGTTGCTGAGTGGGAAGCTGGTGGTCTCAGTTCTGAAACATCCTCCCTCCCTTTGACCCATGCCTGGTGGGAAGCAGCAGGGCAAGGGGCAGCCCGACAACAAACGAACTAAAATGTGGAGTCGGCAGCCGGTCTAGCAGGACTTTCTCTCTCTCCAGTGGAGAAACTCCAATACTGATAAGCTTCACCTGTTGAAATTAATGAGAATAAAGTAATGAATTCAAGCACTTACTCCCAGCAGAAGGATCCCGTGATGAAATCAAAGGAAGATCTGCTTATCTTTCATGATGCTGTGGCCTCAAGTGCTTCTTTAAGGAGTATCTCAGAAACACTGAGCAAGGATCTGTCGTTAATACCTTTGTATGGCATTTTGCTATGAATCAAATAATCATAGCTATTCTCTAAAACTCTTAGCACTACATGGAAAGTTTGACGAGAAAAGTACAAGAACTATGGCAGAATTACAGAACAATATTTCGGAATTGAAGTGTTATGTTTGGTAACAATAAACTTAAAGAATTGTTTATTTTGCCCTGTGCTACTTCTGACAGCCAAACAACTATTCTAACACTACAGAGGGTAACAAAACTGATTGCTTTAGACTGAAACAAAGATCCTGCTGTAACTTAAGAATACATCAGAATCAAAGCAATGGCCTATAAAATGTCATCAAACCTTCAGCCACACTGATGCTATTGTACAATGCAGGTTTGTGTGAGGAATGTATAATCCAACTCAACTCCAAATTATTTTGCAGATGAAATGTCATTTCATGAGTCTGTTTTTGTAATATAGCTTTATTAAATACAATCAGGATTTAATGTACAAAGTGTAAAAATAATTTGAATTTGAAATATATACAATACTGTACATGTGCATTTAGTAGCATTTTCGGGGGTTTTGTCTTTGTAGCATTCTGCGGGCTGGTAACAAGCCCTCGAGTTCCTTTGTGTCTTTCTGAAGAGCCTCGGCTGCTTCAGAACTGCTTTTTGATGAGTTATTTGCTTCCCCAGTAGACCTGGAACTATTTTTGGGTGAAAGAGCATCAGATAAATTAGTAGCTATTGTACTGCTGTTTTCATTTACATAATCAATCTTCTTTTCTTCTTGTAAATTATTCATGAGTGCTTGGGTATTAATCATTGCAAGTTCTTCATCAGCAACCAGGTCATTCTCAGGAAGATGGACAGTTTCTCTCAATTTTCTACAGGGGGTGACATGACCAATATTCCGATTTGTTTCTTTTGATGACTTGCTGTGCTGTAAGCCCAAACTTCGTGGAGGCTGAAATGCTTTTTTTAAAGATGGAGAAATGATTGAACAGATTGGTGTCAGTGGTGGAGGGGCAGGTATGCAACTGAGGAAGTCCATCGCTTTTCTCTTTTTGCTACTTTTGGGATGGTCTTCATTAATTCTAGCAGATGAAGGAGTTTTTGCTGACCCTTGTGCGACAAGTTTCATATTCGGTGTGCTAGTTGACAAAGGGCTTAGATGCTTTATTTCAATTTTAGAAGAGATCTAGTTAAAAAGAGATAAGTTTTATGTTGAATAGAATGTCCTATTTTATTAGCTTCCTCAATTACTTCCACAAAACGGGGGGGGGGGGGGGGGGAGCAATTTAAAAAAATCTCCAATTTAATTTTACTTTGATATCTTCTGATGGTGACTAATATTATTCTTGCAAGTATTGATGCTTGATAAATCACTGTTTACATGTACATTAAGACAGCACATTTCTATTCTGTTTCTGAGATCTAAGATAAATGTATGGGAATTTTTCTGTGCCAGATGGTCAAATCAAAGCACTCATAAAAAGGAGTTAAAACTTCTACTGCATTGGATATGTCCTCAACAGGTTGTTAAACAGGGAAAAATGGAAAAAAAAAAAAAAAAAATTGAAGAAAAAAGGGGTAGAATATAGACCAAAAACTTGAAGATAACGATACACACAAGATAGACGTTACACAGCAAATCATTCAAACACATGCCTAATGTGAGAATACCTTTAACGTCTCATTTGTTTTAACTTGGTTAATATATTTAATAAACGGATATAAACTAAACCTTCAGAATTAAATATTAGCACTCTCTCTGAAATGGAAAAGGATGCCTTATAAGCTTAAATTTAGTTCCCAGGAATTGATCTCACATCAGGGTGTTTCCACCTTCCTCGCAACTAGTGGCAGGAAAAATTTTTGTTCTGACAGCACTCAGTACTCCACATCAGGAACAACTTGCCACCAGCAGCCTTCACAGGAAACTTCAGTACTATTTAACTCAATTTTTGTCAAGACTGCTATAAAAATGTAAACGTTTACTAGGTGATACCTCTTCCCTTTTAAATCCTGGAAGTAGTGAACAATATCTAGGAAAAAAAGACCAGGAGGTAAATTCTCTAAGCAAGGGTAAGAACTGCAGAATGCCGTGAAAGAAAAATTTACAGATCAAGATTTTTCCTTCCAGTGACATCCATGTCAGATAATCTTCACAATGGGACCAAGGAAGCAATAAATCATCTATAGGGAAAGGATGATTTATTTTACTCATATAAAATTCAGAATATTTAAAGTATGCTGTGAAAACACAGGCCACAAGGGGAGGTTTTCATGTACTGATTGGAGGAAGAATAGTCTCACAGTTCCTCCTGGGGAGTAATCCTAAACCCACACACAGAGGAAGCTTCTGATCAGCTTACATTGCCCTGAAGAGAACCTATGAAGTGGACTGAGACGCGAGACCATTCACCACAGCTATCAGCATAAAACATGCTTATATCCTTACTGTATGTACTGTCTGTATAAACACAATATTAATTACCAGAAGCTTACCAAACTTTTATCCTCTGCATAAAGACCCGAGTTGCAGGAAGGAGAGGGGCATTCCAAGCCACATCTTTTAGTTAAACTGGGTGGAAGCGAGGTATTTCTTTGTAGCAAATTCATCAATTTACTTTCTGCATCAGAGCAAAAGGAGGCCACATTCTATAAAGGAGGACAGATTACAATGCAGAATAGTTGTTTTTCAAATTGTTTAAGTACTATATGCTCACAAAGTATTTAGGACTTTGTTCCCTCATCAAAATCCCACTAGAAGTTTATTTTATATCAAACCAACAACTTAGAAGACTGCTGCACTTTCCGTGGAGGGAAATATCATACCTTCCTTTTATTGTTAACAAGAAAAAAAATCCTTTTGTATTTAAACTTATTTTTCAGTAAGAAGTGAGAATGCATGACCAAGACATGCTATTTAGCACAGCTAGAAAATGGAAATGATAAATAAATGAAATCAACAATCTGATACTGAATATGTTCAACTGACCAAGACAGTAAATTTCAACTTTTAAAAGGCTAGAACCAAGCGGTGCATGACAGATTCCCTGTTGACAGGTACAATATTTTTTGCTAGCCAGAGAAGATTCTGTGGCACATCCCAAAGACAGTGTTGGTGGAATAGAATTAAAAAAAAAAATAAAAAAAATCAGAAGACATTCAGTAGGTGATATGGAGAGTCCTACAGGAAAAGTGCATTAACACCTTACTCCATCTCCCAGAAAATCCTCTCAAATTCAACATTATGTGCATTACTTGTTTTAAAGATTT